AAAGAAAGAAAGAAGGAAAGAAAAGGAAAGAAGGAAAGAAAAAAGCAGTCTAAACTTTTCATGTTTTAATGGACCTGAGGGTGTGGGAGACCTTGACAGGGTGGGATGAGGAGGAAGACACAGCAAGGTCAATCCTGGTTTCCTGGTTTCCTGCTCTGCAGGGTGCACTAGAGGATGATGGGAAGTAAGGCTGTGATCTGGATAAGGGTTCTTGCTTCCTCCCAAGCATAAGCCTGGGGAGTAGGAAATTGCAGCCCAATATCCTATACTCCTGTGGCCCTCTGAAAAGTGCATTCACAGATCCTATTTCACCTTGTAAAATCTTTGTTTGGGTGCAGTCCTGGGGATCGAACCCAGGACTGCTCTATCACTGAGCTATGTCTCCAACCCTTTTCATTTTTTATTTTGAGACAAGGTCTTGCCCTCGCCCTCATGGGCCTCCTCAGGGAGGCAAAGTCACAGAGAAATCCGGCCCCAGAGAGCTGAGGAACGTCCGAGAGCCAGCAGCCAGGATTTATCCACCGATGGTGCAGCGTCGCCATCTAGTGGCAATGCGGGTACTACACGGAGGAACCCCACCTGTTAGCGAACCTCCCGGCTTTCTCACCAGAAAACAGGGCAATCTGGTCTCAAAGCTAAGGTCGTAGGGGCCCAAGCTTTCCCTGAAGAAGGCTTCTTGGTGATCAGTAAAGGCCAAGCCCTACATAACTCCTCTCTTAGCCACCTGCCTGCCTTTCAGGACATAGTGCTTCGTGTACTTCAAGACCCTGGGCACCCTGAGAGCTGTCTGCCACCCAAGGGAAAAGCAGGGTGCCCAGGGTCCCAGGAGCAGGGGAGGAGGCTGACGTGGTCAGTTCCAAGGGCCCTGGGAAACTTTTCATCCCCTTGTCCTGGTGCCGTCCCCTCCCATAAGGCAGCCTTGAAGTCTGTCTTCACACCTTCTCAGCAGCCTGCTCCTCAACGGGCTGCTCCGCCCCGTATCAACCCTCCACAGGTCCCCTGCTTTCAGCCAAGGCTGGCCAGTCGCACAGCCTTTGGGAATGCACCTTGGACGCTATTCCAGAGCCTACATCCCAGTGGCCCTCACCTTCAGACCCCAGATCAGAGCTGCATCTCCCTCCCTGCCCCCAACTTGAAGGCAGCCGTCACCCAGGAGGGCAGTGTGGCCTGGGGGAAAGGGCACTCAAATGCTCAGGTATACCCAGCTCTCCACTGAGAGCACGTGACATCAGGCAAGTTGCCTTACCTTGGAGTGGCCAGGCCTTCCCAGAAGGACATGCCATCCGGAAACCACAAAGCAAAAGATTGACAGATGTATCAGGCATGGTGGAGCGTGCCTGTAATCCCAGCGGCTTGGGAGGCTGAAGTAGGAGGATCACAAGTTTGAGACTAGCCTCAGCTACTGAGCAAGGCCCTAAGCAACTCAGCGAGACCCTGTCTCTAAATAAAATTTTAAAAGGGCTGGGGGGCTGGGGATATAGCTCAGTTGGTAGAGTGCTTTGAATCCATGCACAAGGCCATGGGTTCAATACCCAGCACCAAAAAAAAAAAAGGTGGTGGGGGCCTGGGGTTATGCTCAGTGGGTAAGCACCCCTGGGCTCAATTCCTGGTTCAAAAATAAAATAAATGAAAATCGATAGATATGACAATGTGAAAACTTCAAACTTCTATGCCACAAAAGGCATGGTAAAGCAAGTTAAAAGCCAAGCAAGCTGGACATGGGCACAGACTGTAATCCCAGTAACTGAGGCAGGCGGATTATAAATTTGAGCCCAACCTAACAGAATCCTCCCTATAAATAAATAAACAAACAAACAGGGCAACCCGAGGCTGTACCTCTGTGGTAGAGTACCCTTGGGCTCAAACCCCAGTTTAAAACAAGCAAACAAAAAGCACTGCTAATCAAGGGTGAGAGAGTAGTAACTGATCAAGGACCAATCCAGAAATTAAAAATAGGCTCCACCATTTAACAATTACAAAGTAAGCAGAATGCACTGGTGCATGCCTTTAATCCCAGCTATTTGGGGAGGCGGGGGCTAGGAGGGGCTGAAGAAAAAATTACAAAGTAATCTAGTAGAAATTTCTAGAAAGGATAAAAAGGTCAATGAACATATGAGAAGATGCCTAGCCTCCCTAGTCATGAGAGAAATGCTAGTTAGAACTGTGATGACCGGGGCTGGGGATGTGGCCCAAGCGGTAGCGCGCTCACCTGGCATGCATGCGGCCCGGGTTCGATCCTCAGCACCACATACCAACAAAGATGTTGTGTCCGCCGAGAACTAAAAAATAAATATTAAAAATTCTCTCTCTCCCTCTCTCTCTCCTCTCTCACTCTCTTTAAAAAAAAAAAAAAAAAAAAAAAAAGAACTGTGATGACCCCTTGCATCCAAATCTAAATCTCCGAGTGGAAAGAGCAGATGTCCCTGCAGGAACTGGCACTCCAGGGCTGGGGTAGGACACACAAGGGGAGCTTGGGACAGCAAGCTTGTAGCAAAAAGCAAGGAAGCTTTCAAAGATTAATGGGGTCAGGCCACAAGGACACAGGAATTTGCTGGAAGGAGCTCCACTGGCCAACTTGTAACAATTTGCACATCAAAAAGAAAATTGATGGTGGGTGGCTGAGATACCTTGAACTGATGACAGTTCATATAAGCATTCCTGAGAAACTCAAACTGGAGAACTCCAAAGGAATTCTTGGGACCCCCTGAGGCTTTTATTTATTTTTTGTTTTTATTTTTTGATGCTAGGGATTAAACTCAGGGGCACTCAATCGTCATACCACATCCCCAGCCCAATTTTGTATTACGGCACAGGGTTTCACTGAGTTGCTTAGCGCCTTGCTATTGCTGAGGCTGGCTTTGAACTCTTGATCCTTCTACCTCAGCCTCTGGAGCCACTGGGACCACTGAGGCATTTTTTTTTAAAGAGAGAGACAGAGAGAGAATTTTTAATATTTTATTTTTTAGTTATTGGCGGACACAACATCTTTGTTGGCATGTGGTGCTGAGGATCGAACCCGGGCCGCACGCATGCCAGGCGACCGCGCTACCGCTTGAGCCACATCCCCAGCCCCCCACTGAGGCATTTTTAAAGCTGGATTTTAATTTTATTCACATTTTCAATGTCGTTCTCATTTGTTTTTTTATTTCTAATTGACACGTAGTGATTGTACATATTAGGCGTTTATTAAATCGATGTCATCCTTTGAGAATTGATGACTATCTCTGGGGGTCCTGTGGCTCAGGGTCTCTCATGGGCTGTGACAGAAGTGTTGCCTGAGCCTGTGATCATCTCAAGGCTCAGCTGGGGACAGTCCACCCCAGGCTCACAGACATGATGGCAGAATTCAGTTTCCCACCAGCTCTTTTCCAGAGACAGGCCCTGCTTTGTGGGTGTGTCACCTGGGCAGTGGCCAGGGCCTGTGCTCAGAAGGGCTCTGTGCTGGTTCCATTCTCTGCCTTTCGTTCTCTGTCTTGAATTTAGTTTCCTCTTTGAACTCGTGTTTTGTGAATGTCATCCAGCAGGACACTGTGAACAAAGGAGATATATGCCATAATGTCCCCCACACTCCTGGTCACCCGTCCTCGGAAAGCCTTCGAGGTGGCCCAGGAGCGCAGTAGTCTGGTAGACCCACGTCACGTGGGACTCCAGTAGGATTCCAGCTGCGTCCAAAGTGGGTGGGTTCAGGAAGCCACTGCTTCTCTAGAATGTTGTAGAATCAACAGGTGAAACCGGTCCAGCAGGATGCACCTATGATTCCAGCTACCAGGAGGCTGAGGCAGGAGGATCCTAAGTCCAAGGCCAGCCTGTGCAACTTAGCGAGACCCTGAGCAATTTGGCAAGACCCTGTCTCAAAAAAGAATTTTTTTTCAAAGGACTGGAGATGTAATTCAGTTGCAATGTACCTCCGGGTTCAATCCCCAGTACCAAAAAAAATTAAATTAAATTTGAAAAAGGGCTGGAGATATAGTTCAGGGGTGGAATGTTTACCTACCACGCATGGGGCCCCTGGGTTCCATCTGCAGTACCAAAAAAGAATAAATAAATAAATAAGGTGAAATAAAACCAGTTGAGTTGGTTTTGTGTAGTGTTTCATTGTTCCGTGAGTATGTGCATGTGTGTGTGTGCGTGTGTGTGTGTGTGTGTGTGTGTGTGTGTGTGTGTGTGTCAGTACTAGGGATTGAACCCAGGGGCGCTTAACCACTGAGCCACATCCCCAGATCTTTTCATTTTTTATTTTGAAATAATGTTTCTCGAAGTTGCTGAGGATCTCATTAAGTTGCCAAGGTTGACCTGAAACTTGCAATCTGTCACCTCAGATTCCTGAGCTGCTGGGATTACAGGTGTGTGCCACCAAACCTGGCTGATAAGAACAGTACACATTGCAATGTACAAGCTACTAAATACAAACTGAGTAATTTTGCTGATTCTACACATGAGTTCTTACATTTGTAATCTCTTTTCCTTTCTTCTGTGGTCCCGTTTGACTTATGGTGTTTTCTACTTTCTACCTAATATCATTTATAAATATCATTTATTTTCAAATGAAATGTTAACTTATCAGGCTGGGGATGTAGTGTGCAGTGGTAGTGCCCTCGCCGAGCATGCATGAGGCCCTGGATTAGACTCTCAGTGTCCCAGTGTTGTGCCCCACTGTGAGTCTGCCACACATCCCTGGATTATTAAGATGGCTCATGTTACATTTTGTCAACTTAACTCACTAGAAGAAAAATCACTAGGTTGGTGTGTGGGTTGAGTTGTGTTCCCCAAATTCATAGGCTGAAGCCCTAACCCCTGAACAGCAAGTGAGGTTTTGTTTGGAAATAGGGTTTTTGCAGATGTCATCAGTTAAGGAGAAGTCATCCTGGAGTAGGGTGGCCCCTGATCCAATGACTGATGTCCTTGGGAAAATTTGGAGGCAGAGACAGATGCCCACAGGAAGGCCATCAAGTGAAGATGGGGGTTCTGCTGCCACAGCCAAGGAACAACCAGACAGAGTCCTCCCCTGGCCTCCAGACTGAGGCCAGGAATTTCTGTGGCTTAAGTCACGGGGTTTGTGGCATTTGGTGGCAGTACTCTCTTTTTTTTTTTTTTTAGCTACACATGACATTACACGGTGGCAGTACTCTTAGCTAAGCGATACAGGCCTGGATTCCAGGAGGTGGGAATCAGTGGGGTCACCTTATCATCTGCCTGCAGCACCAATCTGTACCTGTAGGAGGAGTAGTGAGCATAGAAAACTGTCATTTGCATCACAGAGTCAGGCGAGGAGTGTCATATGCTTGGACATCATCACAGGGATCGGGAAGTAGACGTTTATTTGACGACAAAGCAAAGCCACAAAGATGCCTTTCTGGGTCTGTGTGGGAGGATCAGGCTGTCATCAGCCTGTTCCAGGGGTCAACCATAGTATTTCTCATGGTGGAACACGAGGTCCTTTGTGTCCCCTGCTGGGTGGTAGTAGGAGGCACGTGGCTTCCCTTTTGCTGACTTCTGGCCAATGCTGTTTGAATGGACTCAGACTTGAGTTCTAGCCTCCAGTTTACTGGAGATCCCAGGGATAGAGGAATAAGACCAAAAAGACCCAGACTAAACAAGCAAGTGGACCCAGCCGTGGATCCCAGCAACACATTTTCACAAATGTTGAAAGGGATGCTATTTATTTGAATAACTGTGAACATGTTACTTGAACCCTATAGAAAAATAATTGCATCTTTTAAAAGATACATTAAAATTATTAAAAATTGTGATAAGCCTTTAATAGGAGAATGTGGTTTATCTGGACAATGAAATATTTTTTAGCAATAAAGAGAAAGGAGTTTTCAAGGCATCAAAAGACATGGAGAAAATTTAAATAAATATTACTAGTGGAAAAAGACAGTCTTTCCAGGCTAAATTCCATATGATTCCAACTATGGGACATCCTGGAAAAGGCAAGATTATGCAGACAGTAAAAAAACAATCATGTTTGCCAGGGTCTGGAGAGGGGAGAAGGGGGACGGATGAATAGATGGAATGTTGGGCATTTTGGGGACTGTGAAACTACTGTATATAGTCCTGTCGCAACAGATACATGATATTCAGCATTTATCTAAACCCATAGAGGGAAAAAAAAAAAACCAAAGAAGGAGCCAAGTGTGGTGGCACATACTTGTAATCTCAGCTAATCGGGAGGCAGAGGCAAGAGGATCACAAATTTGAGGCCAGCCTCAGCAATGTAGGAAGGCCCCATCTCAGGATAAAAATAAAATAAAAAGGGCTGTGGATGTGGCTCATTGGTAGAGCACCCCTGGGTTCCATTCCTAGCACCACAGCAAAACAAAGCAAAGCCAGAGACAGCTACGATAGACAATGAACTCTAACACAAGCTGAGCTTGAGGTTAATGATGAGCCATGAATCTCGTGTCACAAATGGTGACAGATAAAGTGACCTACTGCAAGATGTTAACAGAAGGGAAACCATGGAGATCATAAGTGCTTCATATGTATTTTTTAAATCCAAAATGGTACTAAAAGTCCCTTAATTATTGTTTGTTTTTGGTACCAACGATTGAGCCCAGGGGCACTCAATCACTGAGCCACATGCTAGCCCTTTTTGTATTTTATTTTATGACAGGGCCTCACTAAGTTGCTGAGGCTGGCTTTGAACTTGGAATTCTCCTTCCTCAGCCTCCCATGCTGCTGGGATCATATGCATATGCCATTGAGCCTGGCTCCTTAATTGTTTTAAAAACCTATAATGTCATATTTTTACACTGTATGCTTTGTTATTGTTGTTGTTGTTACCAGGGATTGAATTCAGGGACACTCAACCACACTCCCCAGCCCTATTTTTTATTTATTTTTAATTTTTTAAAAGAGAGAGAGAGAGAATTTTAATATTTATTTTTTAGTTTTCGGCAGACACAACTTCTTTGTTCATATGTGGTGGTGAGGATCGAACCCGGGCTGCACGCATGCTAGGCGAGCGCGCTACCGCTTGAGCCACATCCCCAGCCCCCCATTTTGTATTTTATTTAGAGACAGAGTCTCACTGAGTTGCTTAGCACCTTGCTTTTGCTGAGGCTGGCTTTGAACTTGCAAAGTTTTGCCTCACCTCCCAAGCCGCTGGGGTTATAGGCATGCACCACCATGCCCAGCACACTAAATAATCAGTAAAAATCAAACAGAGGGTAATATTCTGTGCCACTGAGGACATGGGTAGACACTCTCCTGCCCTATGGTGAGAGTGAGCAGCGAAGGTGGTCTTCAAGGCACCTGGGCAGTTTCTTCAAAACTAAAAATTTCCTTGCATTTCAGCTACACAATTCACTTGGGGACTGTGTAGGACTTAGGGATACAAAACTGCTCATTGCCACGTTCTTTTTTTTTTTTTTTTTTTTTGAAATGATGAGACATTTATTTCTACCTGGATGTTTTGCTTACCAATAAGATCTTCAAAATTTTTTAAATTTAAAACATATTTTACAAAATGGATTGAAGACCTAGGAATTAGGCCAGAAACTATACAACTCTTAGAAGAAAACAGAGGGTCAACACTCCAGCATAGAGACATAGGAAATGTCCTTCTCATTAGGACTCAGAAAATAATGCCAAGAGCTAACAAATGGGATGGTATCAAAGTAAAAAGTTTCTGCACAGCAAAGGAAACAAGTAGGAATGTGGGAAAAAAAAAAAAACCCTACAGAATGAGAGAGAAATCTTTGCTAGCTACTCTTTTTTTTTTTTTAAAGAGAGAGTGAGAGAGGAGGGAGAGAGAGAATTTTTTTTTAATATTTATTTTTTTTTTAGTTCTCGGCGGACACAACATCTTTGTTGGTATGTGGTGCTGAGGATCGAACCCGGGCCGCACGCATGCCAGGCGAGCGCGCTACCGCTTGAGCCACATCCCCAGCCCCAGCTAGCTACTCTTTTGACAGAGGATTAATATCCAGAATATGTAAAGAAATCAAAAATTTGAGGGCTGGGGATATAGCTCAATTGGTAGAATGCTTATCTAGCATGCACCAGGCCCTGGGTTCAATCCCCAGCATCACCACCCCCCCAAAAAAAATTGTAACAGCTAATCAAATAACACAATTAATAAATGGGTAAATAAATTAAACCAGTACTTTTCAAAAGAAGAAACACAAATGGACAACAAATATATGAAAAAAATATTCAACATCATTAGCAATTAGGGATATACAAATCAAAACTACTCTCATACCAGTCAGAATGGCATCAAGAACACAAATAATAATAAATGCCGGAGAAGATGTGGAGAAAAAGGAGCACTTTCACACTGTTGGTGGGATTGTATATTACCACAACTACTATGGAAATCAATATGGAGGTTTCTCAAAAGACTAGGCATAGAACCACCCTATGACCCAGCTATACCACTCCTTGGTAGTTCTTTTTCTTTTTAAAATATTTTTTTAGACATTCATGGGCCTTTATTTTGTTCATTAAGAATCAAACCCAATCACTCACACGTGCTGGGTGAGGGCTTGGCCACTAGCCACAACCCCAACTCTGCTTTTTTTTTCTTTAATATTTATTTTTTAGTTCTCGGCGGACACAACATCTTTGTTGGTATGTGGTGCTGAGGATTGAACCCAGGCTGCACGCATGCCAGGCGAGCCCGCTACCGCTTGAGCCACATCCCCAGCCCTGGTTTCTAGTTTTCAATGGACATTTATCTGAGAATCGAACCCAGAGCCTCATGCGAGCTAGGCGAGCGGTCTACCGCTGAGCCCCAGCCCCAGCCCCACTGCCACATTCTTAAGAGGGAAACCTCGGGAATGTAAATGTCTATGGACAGGGACAGTTTAAATAAAAACACTCATGTGCATGGGGCAGAGTACCCAACTACCAGGTATTGAAGAATGTGGTGAGCCAGGTACCTGAAGTCCCAGCTACTCAGGGGGCTGAGCAGGAGTGTTCTTGAGCCCAGGGGTCAGGCCCAGCCTAGGCAACACAGCAGGGTGCAGGCGGGAGAAAATGTGTCAAACCTGCACCCTCTGACAAGGAAAGCTCTCCAACGCGGATTTGAAGATAAAACCTATGCTTGAAAAATGGTCCATTTAAAAAGAGAGAGATGGTGTGTGTGTGTGTGTGTGTGTGTGTGTGTGTGTGTGTGCGCGCGCGCATGCGCGCATATACATTGTGTAGAAAAGGAAGTGGAAAGACAAGCACGTGTGGGGTGCTGAAACCCAGGCCCTCATGGATACTCAGCAAGAGCTCCACCTCCAGTCCTATTTTATTTTGAAATAAATAATTAAGTGGCCCAGGCTGGTCTTGAACTTGCAATCCTCCCCCAGCCTTCTGAGTCGCTGGGATTACAGGTGCGCACCACTGCACTTGAGTAGAAAAAAAGAAAAGAAAAAAAGTTAGTTGTTGCATATAACTAGATTGTAACTTCACAGGGACAGCTGGGGCTCCACCAGGCTCCGCCACAGAAGAACATTCCCAGATTCTTTTTTTTTTTTTTGTGGTGCTAGGGGTTGAACCCAGGGCCTATGCGAGGAAAACACTGTACTAACTGAGCTATATCCCCAGCCCAATTTTTCCTTTTAACAATGAACAATGAATGTCCTGTCTCTGGACTTGAACAAGGTCAAGGACCCTCCACACACACACACACACACACACCCTGGAGAGCATCTCCCCTCCACCCACCACTCTGCTCCTCTTCCCTGGGAGGAAAGAGGGCGGCAGAGCTGGGTGGATGGGTTCCTCCAGTCCCTGGTTGGGATTTGGGTCTATTTTCCCTGAGAGTAAGGTAGCTCAGGACAGAGCCGCTTGCCTAGCGTGTCTGAGGCCCTGGGTTCCATCCCATAAGACAGACAAGGAGATGGTGACTCAGACGGGCTCCCTGTGCTTGGGCTGGGAGCCCTCATCCCGTCCACGCGACCCATTCATTCCCTCAACTTGTGAGGCTCAGCTCTTCAGGGTGTTCCTGACCCTCAGAAACTCGCTGCTGCCCAGGAGGTAAGTGTCCCAGTATTGGCAGTTCCTGCCTCCAATTCGTGGCACGCCTCCTGGTGGCCATCAGCAGTGACCTAGATGGTCTGCTGCTTTCCATAGTGAATTTGTTTTCTCCTCAAATTCCCTGGCCAGCCCGCATCTGCAGCGGCTCAGGAAGTGAGCTGGACGCACACGTCACTGAGGAGCATTAGCCAGGCCTCCCGTGGGCCCTCCAGCCTGGACAGAGCCCAGCTCCCCCTTCCCAGGCACGCCCTGCTATGGCTGAATGCTCATCCCACCCAAGTCCACATGCTGCATCTAACCCCCAAGGTCCTGGCGTCAGGAGATGGGGCCCCTGTGCATGGGATCGGTGTCCTTACAAAAGACGCCAGAGAGACCCCTCCCCTCCCCTTCCACTCCTTGAGGACACAGTGGGAAGGTGCCATCTATGAGCGAGGAAGCAGGCCCTCCAGACACTGAGCCTAGACTTCCCCTCTCCCAAACCGCGAGAAAGGAGTTTTACGGTTCCTCAGCCACCAGCCTCCAGCTCTCCAGAGGAATGAAGACGCCGCCTGTTCTGTCTTGAGGGTCCCCCTGAGGCCCCCCACTCACCATTGCCTCTGTCTCTCCCTCTGTCGTCAGGGGTCAGCCCGTGCAGGCTGGAGCCTCCTCTCCTGACTGTGAGCTCCTGCACTTCTGTCCCGGCCTGGCCCCCGTCTCCACCCCCTCCCAGGAGGCCTTCCCTGCCTTCCAGCTGCCCGGGTCCTCATCAGGTCCCCAGGCACTGCCCTGCCATCTGTCCTGAGGCTCTGGATCCCTCAGCAGCATCACCAACTGGCCAGGGCCAGCTTCCTGCCCCCTCCTCCTCCCTTACTGTCCCTCCCTTTACCCGACCTCAGGGCCAGGCCCTCTTCTCTTCCCACACTCTCTCCTCGGTGACCTCATCGATCCCAGATTTGAATCCCAGCCCTGACAACTCCGCCATGCGTCCAGCTGGAGTGGCCCTCTGCCTCCCGGACGCCCCATGTTTCCTGTGCACGGGGCAGAACTCCCGCCCACGGGGTGCCCCCCTCAGACAAGGGTGACTCTGTGTACCACATCCCCAAACCTGGAGCCATCCCCAGCTGTCCTGCTTCCCTCCCCCCAAGTCCCATCCACAGTGGATCACGCCGGACTGACCTCCTCTCAGACCTCCCCAAGGGGTAAAGGCCACACAGGCAGGGACACTGCAGTGCTCACAGGGAGGTACTCACAGCACCAAAGGAGGGGCCCTCCCAGGAGGGTGGTCAGGGAAGGTTCTGGCAAGGACAGGCACCACTGCCATGGGTGGAGAGACTTCAGGTCATGTGGGGGCAGCCGAGGCCCAGACCTCCACTCTCCCCGTCCTGATGGTTTTCCTGCTGGGGGAGGTGAGTGAGAAGGACCCACAGCTGGGTGAAGTCCAACGTGTGAAGCAGAATGGCCGAGTTGGCTCTGCCAGCTCAGGCCAGGGAAGCAGGCTGGTGCCAGGCTGTGGGGCTTCAGTGGCTGAGGTGCTCTGACGGTGTTAGAGCCACTGGAGACTCTTGAACAGGAACAGCGTCAGATGCAGCTGGCAGCTGCGTGGCAGAAGGTAAGGAGGATACACCTGGGTGAAGCCTGAAATAGCAAGGGCCACGACAGGAAGGGCAGACCGTCAGGCATGCGAGGGGGCCACGGGGCCTGATGGCTGGATGCTGTGGGCCAGGGGACAGAAAACACCTGTGACCCAGGAGTTAAAACCAACGGGAAGCTGGGTGCAGTGGTGCACGCCTATAATCCCAGCGTCTCGGGAGGCTGAGACAAGAGAATTGCAAGTTCAAAGCCAGCCTCAGCAAAAGTGAGGCGCTAAACAACTCTGTGAGACCCTGTCTCTAAACAAAATACAAAATAAGGGGCTGGGGATGTGGCTCAAGCGGTAGCGCATGCGTACGGTAGTGGCATGCGTGCGGCCCGGGTTCAATCCCCAGCACCACATACAAACAAAGATGTTGTGTCCACTGAAAACTAAAAAATAAATATTAAAAAATTCTCTCTCTCTCTCTCTCTCAAAATAAATAAATAAATAAATAAACAAATAAATAAATAAATAAGGCTGGGGATGTGGCTCAGTGACGGAGTGACCCTGAGTTCAATCCCCAATACAAAAAAAGAAAAGAAAAGAAACCAACAGGAAGCCATCTGGGATGGTGTCCCTGTCCTTTGCCAGGTGAGCCCTTGGTGCTGGGACCGTAGCAGTAGCCAGGTTGTGCAGCACATGGCTGGAGCTGGATTTGGTCCACCCACAGATGACAAGAAAGGTCTATGGAACAGCACCTTTCTGCTGTGGAGACTGACAGCTGGTTTCTCAAAAGGGAAGTCCAGGAGCCCACCTGAGGGGAGTGGAGACCCAGAGACTTCAGGTTACGTGGCGGGCAGCCCAGGCCCAGAGCTCCACTCTCCCAGTCCTGTTCATTTTCCTGGGCAGCTGTTCGGTTTCCTCTTTCCAGAAAGGTTGGATCATGTGGTTTTTCCCCAATCCCCAGAAATCTGATTCCCTTTTTCCAAGACTGTCCTTGAGGACAGCCTTCCTCACTTTGAGAGCCTGGGGAGACCTCTCTTCCGGCTGCCGAAACTCCCGACTCAGTGTCTCTGGCCCTAAGGAAGTGCCAAAGCCGGGCGTCTTACCTTGCTGAAATAAATTCTCTTACCAAAGGGGTCTAGTGAGTACCTGTGGGTAGAGGGGAGGCCTGCTTGAGGTAAAAAAGGGGAGCTCTTCAGCCAGGCTCCCTCAAACAACACACTGAGACGGGCCGGGAAATGGGACCCAACATTTAAGGGGGATGATAATCCAGAAAAACAATATCTGCTTATGCTATTTTAAAAAATCGATATTAGAACAAAAACATCAATGAGGAAGAAAAACTCAAAATTTTAAACAAAGATAGGCTTTTATTGTTGTTTTGAGGTGGAGTCTCTGTGCTGCCCAGGCTGGTCCTGCACTCCTGAGCTCAGTCTCCCTGCCTCGGACTCTTGAGTAGCTGGGATTTCAGGTATGCACCTCCTTACACCTGTCATTCCAGTGGCTCAGGAGGCTGAGGAAGGAGGATCGCAAGTTCAAAGCCAGCCTCAGCAACTTAGTGAGGCCCTAAGCAACTTAATGAGACCCTGTCTCAAAATAAAAAATAAATAGGGCTGGGGATGTGGCTGGGGATGAGGCGCAACAGCTAAGCACCCCTGGGTTCAGCCTCTGGTCCAAAAAAACCCCAAAAATTCGAGTGTTAATTTTTTCCACTTGGTTCAAACTGTGGAAGTATGTTCCCACCCACGTGCTTAGGCTGGGCACTTTTCCTTTTGTCCCAGGCTCCTAGAGGGCTGTGGCTCCTTTGAGGTGAACAAAGTGGGACTCCCAGATTGGGAAGCTTGCAAATCGCTTCCTAGGTGAAGTTCCCTCTGTGGCCAGAAGGGGTCACCATGGAGTTGTGCCGCTGGGGCCTCTGCAGCCTCCTTGCACCCCCATTTCTGACGCCCCATGGGGCCGCCCACTAGGGGGAGCTGATACAGTTGCTCAGTTCTTGGGCTGCAGCTCTGAGGGTAGAGCACGGAATGACACCCCAGGCACTGCCCAGGCCCCTAAACTGCAGCCCTTGGACAACTATCCCTGGTCTGGGGAGAGGGCCAGGGTTCTCTTGGCGGATAGAGAGAGGGATATTCTTTCTCTAGGGCCACATTCCAGGATGATCCCAGTTTCAACAGCTTTAGAAGCCTCTTCACTTTTCTCAAGCCAACTGAAGTGAAGTGAGGTGAAATGGGGAGGGGCCACCCCACTCCCATTTCAAATGCCTCCTCCCCTGGGGTTGCATGGCCACCAAAGGCTCGGCTCTGGCTTGGGTGAGCACCCCAGTGGCCACGAGGCCGGGGAGTTGGAAGGTCTCGAGGGCTGCTTCTACCTCTCTTCTGGGCCCTTAGCCTCTTGGTGTCGCCCTGGTCCGTCCACCTCCTTCCTCCCTTTGGTCTCTGCCCCTGCTCTTTCAGGATTCCTGTCAGGGCCCAGTCCAGCTGCCCACCTCCCTCGGTTCTAGGGTTCCAGTTGGGTGGACATCAGTGTCCAGGACAAATCCCTTGTCCCCAGCCTGTGTGAAGCATCGTATACATCCTTTTCCTCCTGGTCCCTGCTTCACAAGGCAGCCTACTTGTTCCCTCCTCTTTTAGATTAGAGGTGACTGTGGCTCAGAAAGGTTGAGGGATTTTCTCACATCACACAGCACTGAGAGACTGGGTCTGAACCTGGAGCCATGCCTCATCTTGCCTGCTGCCTTCTGGAAAGGCCTGGCTTGGCCTGTCCTCCTCCGGCCACCCTGCACCCTCTTTCAGCTCACATAGCTCACTCTTGGCCCATGTACTCGTCTTGCTTTCTAAGAGTAATATTTATTTATTCTTTGGATTTCCGTGGAGTACTCCACTGTGCCAGGCCCGGGAGATGAAGGCGCAGCCCGTGTTCAAGTTCATGGTCTGGGAGACAAGATTTTTTCCTGTGTGTCAGCTGAGTCCTCCCAGACAGGCCCAAGCCCTCCCAAGGGGCAGAGGCTGTTTCCTGCTTCTCCTGCTCCCCCTCCCAGTGTGGTGACCTCCTCCTCCCTCCTGGGGGAGTTGATGCTGCTGGCTGTTGCCTCCTTTGAGGAGTGGGGGCTGGGCAGGCCTGGTGCAGCAGGGCTTGGGAAGGGTCTGGAGCTGAGAGCTCAGGAAAGGGGGTTCCGGCTGATCCCAGCAGGCTTCCTTTCTCAGACACCCAGGGCAATCCAGCCCTGCACTCAGCTCTCTGTGTGGAGCTGGGTTTGGCCTAGAAGGTCAGGGTCAATCCTTGCCTCTATCCCTGGAGCGCTCAGACTAACAGGGCCCTTCTGCTGGACATCTCTCCCATGACTTCCCCTCGGTCATCCCACCCTTGCCAGGAGGAGATTTCCAGAACAAAATCTTAAAAGCCCCTGACTTTTTGATCAGGACAGACACCCTCCTGGTTCCCACAAAGCCTAGTCCCCCCAACCCATGTTCCTGGTGAAACAGGCGAGGGGCCCACAGCAGTCTTAAGGCCCAACTTAGAGAGGGTCACACAGGCAGCCGAGGCTGAGGCACAGGTCAGGGTGCCCCCGCTCCTGGACCTAGAACTAGGGAGGGGAGACAGAGGCAGGCAGGATGCGGGGCAGATGAGCAAACGCGGATACAGGAAGAGCGGGTCTGTTTAATGCCACAGCTGGGTCTGGTTACAAACATCAGAAACTACAAAAGGAGGACAGGCAGTTACAGGATGACCGCACAAGGGGGGACACAGGCACAGTAGCCACGGCAGCAGACCATCCTTCAGGATGATACACGAGACTAAGGGACACACGTGGGGGGCCCCAGCAAGGCTGACACAGAGCGGGGGTGGACCGACTGGCAGCCAGGAGCGGGGCAGGGAGGGGCAGGGCCCTCAGCCCTCAGAGCCTGAGGTGCCCGTCCTGCTGCCCAGAAGCCTGGATTCCCAGGGCTGGCTCGGCGGCCGGCAGGTGGGGCTGGCACGCCAGGTCTCTTCACTGAGGCCCCACCCCTAGCTGTCATCCTGTCTGGGCCCCTGGGTCTGCCCTTGCCCCAGCCGGTTCCAGGGCACATCAGTGAACTGACCCTCTGTGGAGGAGAGGGAGGGAGCCAGGTCCTTTTTGCCTGGAAGTGGGAAGCAAGAATGTGGGGAGCTGGTCAGAGTGGGCTGGGCTTTGCCACCAAGCTGGGCCCCCCCCACCCCTACCCATCCAGGCCCCATTCTCTGATCTGCTGTGGGATACCAGGGCCAGGGCATGC